GCGGGGGGAGAGGGTGGGGCACCCCCCGGTGTAAGCCTCAAGCTCGGTTTACAGAGGCAGCCGAGCATGCAACCCAGCCGAGGAAGGGAGGAAGGGAGGAGAGAGCTCGGGGCTGCCTCCGCTGCCCCAGCACCGGACAAAGCTCGGCGGCACCCAGCCGGTCTGCCTGAGGACCCCCAGCTCCGATCCGGGACTGCCGCTTTGCACCGCTGATGCTGCTGGCGTTGACCCCATGCAACACGTTTCACTCCCAAACCACGTTTCCTGGGTGGGGGGAAGCCCAGCTGCCCCACGGCACTGGAGACCCCTCAGCTCTGGGTGCCCCCAGCACCCAAAGGTGCCCTGCATGGGGCTCACCCAAGGCGGCTCGCAGCAGGATTTGCCGGCTTGCGAACTTTCCCGGAGCCGGCAGAGGGGGCCCAGAAGCCGGGAAGCCTCCGGCAGCCCCTCTCCAAGCTTGGGAGGGATCTGACATCCATGCCCGCTGCTTAGACAAGGCTTACGAGTGCCTGCGAAGATGCCCCAGGACAAGGTCCTGTGGGAGAGCGGGTGCTGACCCCCAGCAGGATCCAATACCAGGTACGGCGGTGGTCTCTGGGGACCGGGGCACACAACGGGCTGCTCTCACCATGGGTTGCTCGCTCCCGGGCTCTCCCCTGTGGTCGGTGCCACTGCTCACCTTCTCATGGGGTGCAGCCCACTCTTGCCACCCACCGAGGTCTCCGGCATGGAGGGCGCGAGGTACACCCACTCGACGGCCAGTGCCACCCTGGGAGCCCGGTGGCAGCGGTGCGGGGCGCTGCAGGCACCGGCGCCCAGCAGGCACACCGCCACGTGCTGCCCACGCGTGGCAGAGCGGGCTTGAGGCACCGGCACCCTCACATCTCAGTTTGGGGGACACCAGCCCTGCCTCCCCCCTGTAACCCCAGTGCCTAGCCACCCCCCCCCGGAGCCCAGCACTGCGGTGACATACTGGGGGGACTGGGCATCCTCAACCGCAACGCCGGTGAGCATCGTGCTGCAGCACCCACCGTAGCGATGCCTGGCACATTCCGCGGGGATGCCCGGCATCCTCCATGGCCATGCCATCCCTCCCTGCCCTCCACGGCAAGCGGGGTGCCCGCCACCCCGGGGTGCCAGCCCTCCCATAGCCACCGGCTCCGGGGCCAAGCCCTACTCACGCTGGGTGCAGGCAGGCGTGCAGGCAGGCGTTCAGGCAGGCTGCAGGCAGATGCACTGTGTTTAGGGCTCTTGCAGGGCTGAGAGGAAGCAGCTCCAGGGCCTGCCTCTTAAAGGGAAACACACGCCTTTCCCAACCCCCTGCTCGCAGCCCAGAGCTGGGGTGGGTGTCCCCGGCCCCCCCGGCTCCCCCCAGCCTGCCGGCCATGCCCGGGCAATGGCTTCGCCGTGTGTCCGAAAGCTGCCTGTACGCTGCCCGCACACCTCAGCTGGGATGTACCAGCTGCCAGCATTGCCCCCAGCTCGGGGGGCAGAGCAGCAGGCAACAGGGTGCCCATGAGAGTCTGGTGGGACCCCCATGATGCTTTTATACAAAGCCCCGGTGATGCCACAAGTCCAATGGAGAAGAGCCATCCCTTGTCCCATGTCCCACCGGGTGGATTGGCTGTAGTGCCCAGGCAACGGTGGTGGTGAGCACACACGTGGCAGGAGCACCACGGGCATGAGCAGCTCGGGACGGGTGGGCTGTAGCGGGGGGTGGTCCATGCTTGGGATGTGCAGGCAGCGCCTGCCTGCTCTGGGGTCCAGGAAAGGCAGCTGAGCCACTGTGTTCAGCCTCTTCAGGGTCTGCCTGAGGCTGTGGGGGCAAAGCAGAGGCACAGAAACCACGGCAAAAGCTTTGGGGTGCCCGGTTGCACCCATCTGAGGGGGGCATCATCCCTAGACTTGGATGATGCCCTCCACGCCAGCTCCCACCGGCACACGGACACGCAGCCCCGGCTCCCAGAACCCCAGAT